TGAAAGACCTTGGTACATAAGAGTCAGATTGTCTGTCTTATGTTCATTCTTGTCACTCTATCACATTCTAGAATTCCAAACTCAAAGCTACTGACACAAGAATATAAAAGGCTTCCCAGTAATAAGATGCCTTAGAGCTGTCTTCATTTCTGTGTTCCTCAAACTGTAGATAAAGGGGTTCATCATTTGAGGGATCACAACATACATCACTGAAGCCACTGCATTCTTACTGGAAGAGTCAGTAACAGCGGAACTCAAGTACACACCAAAACCTGCCCCATAGAAGAAGGAAACAACAGAGAGGTGAGACCCACAGGTAGAAAAAGCTTTATACCTTCCAGCCACTGAGGGTATTCTGAAAACCGAGGAGATGATTTTAGTATAAGAGAAAATAACCCCAGCAACAGGAACACCAAAGAATATGTTTGCTGCTGAATATATCAAAAGGGTATTTATAAAGATATCAGAGCAGGCAAGCTTGAAGATCTGAGCAAGTTCACAGAAGAAATGAGGGATTTCCACGTTTGTGCAGAAGGACAGCTGCAGTGCCATCAGAGTGTGGAGCAGGGCATGCAGAGTGCTAATGAGCAGGGAGAAAAGAACCAGCAGGACACAGACGTCAGGGGTCAGGATGACCTGGTACCTTAGGGGCTGACAAATGGCCACAAAGCTGTCATAGGCCATCACTCCAAGAAGACAACTTTCTAAACCAGTAAAAGTCAAGACAAAGGTGCTTTGAGTGAGGCAACCTCTGTAGGTGATGCTCTGATCCTGTGCGTGGATGTTCACCAGCATCTTTGGAATCGTGGTGATGTTTAAACAGATGTCATTAAGGGACAGACTCGAGAGAAAGAAGTACATGGGGATGTGGAGGTGAGAGTCAGAGCTGATGGCCAGGATGATGAGCAGATTTCCCAGCATGGTGATCAGGGACATGAACAGAAACAGGCAGAAGATGAGGGGCTGCAGTTCTGAGTCATCTGTCAGTCCTAGGAGAAGAAATTCTGAGACTGCTGTTTGGTTTTTGAATTCCATATTTTTGCTGAAACTTTGGAAAAGAATACATGACAATAAAATGAAACAAGTATTTTGTGGATGAGCTCCAGTATTGTTTGAGGGTGAGATTAAGCAAAATTCTGAGTTTTACCCTGGATTTGTGTTATACATAATCTGGGAATGAGGAGCTGGATTCTATGTTAAGCATATGCTATGAGTGAATTGATACTTAGAAAATAGATGTGAGTCATATTGTAAACCAATGTGAATTTTCAGCTCATTCTCTGCTCCTTTATCTTTCTATTCTTCTCTCTCTTTATTTTCCTTTATTAAACACCCACACATTTTAAGAATTGTGGCAAATACTGGGACTGTGGTAAAGTAAAATAAATGAATTGTTCTTTGTAAATATACCCTGCCTTCAAAATAAAAGAAATATGACAATGAACTTATCTAATTGATCTTGCAAAGCAGCACTTTTCAGTCTTTTTTGATACCAAGGACAAGTTTCATGGAAGACAATTTGTCCTCAGATTGTCAGGAGGGTACCTTGGGATGATTGAACCCTTTATTGCCACTTTTTTCTATAATTACTACTACATTGTAATATATAAATCATATAATTTTATAACTCATCATAATTCAGAATAAGGAAAAGAAAATAATGGGCAGGCCTCATGCTGACCAAAATAAAGGTTGGATTCTGACATAAAATCTGCCACTACATGCAGCTGAAATGTCACCTGCTGCTCAATAATAGTATTTTGTTACAAGCCTGAGAGCAATTGATTTATTATAGTGTGTGTGAAGTAACACATTTCTGCTAATTTTAATCCCTATTTGCATCCATTTTCTGGCATTAGCAGAATGCCAACCTAAGATCTATTTCAGATCATGAGGCATTAGGTTCTCTCAAGTAGCACACACCTAGATCCTCACAGGCACACACCTAGATCCTTGCATGCAAAGTTCACAGTGTGATTCTTTGCTCCTATGGGAATTTAAAGCCACTGGTGATCTCACAGGTGACAGAGCTCAGGTGGTGATGTAAAGGATGTTGCTTGACTATAAATAGAGCAGATGATTTGATCTCTTGGTGTTTGAGTTGATGCCTAACAGGAATGGACCATTTCATGACCCAGGGTTAAGCCTGTTCTTAATCATTGGTCTTTAATTTGGGCTAACCTCATTGTCACCCGAGGGGTTTGTCAATGTACACATGAGACAGTTTATGCTTTAGCCCCATGGACATGAGGACATCTCATTTAAAATGTACACACAGTTTGGCAAAATCTTGCTGTAAGCTCTGGTTGTCAGAATATTCATTTGACACTATTGACTAATTGCTGCTAGTAGATAACTAACGTTCATATGTTCATGTAGTGCTTGCTAATTTCCTGTATAGTTGAAATAGCATCTTGATGAAATAAGTCCCCAAGTTTTCCCCTACTTTCAAGGTGTTCCATCAACTATGATTTAAGTGAATTGTAGCATGTTGAAGACAGCCATGCATGCGGACATGAGAAATGATTAGAAAACTTCACTTTTAGAGTTGAAGCTCATAGAACCTCCTTGGAAACACATGTAATCTGCCTTAACTATTAATTCTAGGAGAAGCTGGGTAACCACGTTGATAACATTGTTTCCCCATCCTATGGGAACTTATTCTCATAATGAATCTAGCATATATAATTGCATAAAAAGCAAACAAAGTAATAGCTAAATGACAAAGTGAAATTCAAAGGCTCTTTGAAGAAAATAGAAACAATTTATTGCTTTCTAGAAGACAGAGACAGTAAATAAATCAGAGTCAGATTGTCAGGCTTCCTAATAGGAGTGTGTCTTGTGAGTATTGCTTTGTCTGTCCTGAGGAAGAAAGTAGCAGCTATATTAGGAATGATCATTTGGTGTAAAATGAAACTCACAGGCTTTGAATCTAATGCATCCTGTACCAACGACTTTTAGGATATGTAAAAATCTTCAACAGCATGTTTTACATTTGTGTACAAAACAAATGATCAGTTAGGGTAGCAAGGAAAAAGAAAAGGAAGACAGGATAACTCCACCATGAGCAATGCTAATATCAGGGATGGATGTTTATGTTCAAACTACCTTTGGGATTATTGATTAAGAAGAGAGTAAGGAAATTAATATCAATGATTTCAATACTCACATGGCTCCTATATATGCTAAAACATGTAGAAATTAATGTGAATTAAATAATAAAAACTGAGACATGATTCACAAAGTTAAAGAGTGACTTAGGAAATATTATTGGGAAAATTCAATATTACAAAAAATTAAATTTAATTGAATATGTCTGTGCATGTGTATAAATTTTCCATATGGATTATCTGTGCATGACAGACCTTCTTGTATGGCTGGTATGTGTTAGCAAACAACAAAATATTATATACTTCACCATGTTTTCTTTAGACATTTTACTGTGAGAAATAATGTCTATTTTAAGTCCCTTAGTAAATGTGCTTTTAAAAATTTGATTTCTCTTTACTTCCACAAGGCAAGCATCATAATAAATCAACAGCTATCTTTCTCTCTGAATTTTCATTTTTCTAGTATTGTTCTTCCAAACAACATCTTCATGGTATTGCATTTTAAAATGTTCCCATAACAGAATCATATTGTATACATGTACCATTTATAATTGGTGTGCTTAACTAATTTTATTTCCCTCTTAAATGTCATATGTGGCTCTGCTTATTTAATGTTAATTATCAGATTGTTCATTTATATTTCATAGCCCAATTTACTTCTACCTTCTTTAACTGTTAGGTAAAGTGGGTACTGCCTCTGACCGATGAATAAGTGTAAAATTAGGAGCCATAGATGACTGACATCACCACATTCAAGGTAATCTACCTAGGGGAAAGAAGAATGAATGGTTCATCAAGGTGGTGAATTTGCATGTGTCTCATTTGATTACTTCATACAGAAAGACCTGAATAAATTCAGCACAGTAATGACATTGGTTAACTGTGGAGGGAGGTGGATGGTCATGTTTTGGGTGTTGTTATTTAGGCAATTTCTGCTCTTTCTATTAGCATGAAACATGAGGACTACAGGGCTGTTTGTTAAGACTCTCTGTTTCAGCTTCTTTAGTGTCCTCACAACTGCCTACAAAAAAGCACAGAAGATCTCTGCATGATGATGAAATTGGTCTAAAATATCTACACTCATGTTCTTATAATAAAGGAAGACATTTTGGCTTACCTGGAAGTTTTCAGTTACAAAGGTGCCAGGAAGTCAGCTGCACATGGAAGACCAATGATCTGTCCTCAGGAAGGGTGGACACATGGACTGACTCAGTGGGATCTGCACCAGGAGAGCCAATCTCTGGCAGAGAGCATGGCTGTTGTTGCCTGTCTGGGCTGGACTTTTGAGTGAAGTTTTCACAGCCTGAATCCCACAGGTGCTACATCCCCTGGGGGTCAATATCCAGAGCTCCTCATTAAGCAGGAAGTAACCAGAAACACTACTATCATTTTGATCCCAGGAGCATGCAGATCCTTAAACACCAACCCTATAGATGAGAAGAATTCAAGATAATTAATTCTGACTCCTGAGGCCAAATGTACATCATCCAGGTCTCTCTACCATTTCTGCTGACTCCCTAAAACCAACTTTACTTCTGTAATCTAATGAAATACTCTAATAAACTCATACCTTCCATTTTAGCTTTTCCTATCTACTTGAACTTTTAAAAATATTTTAGTTTTTTTATTAGTCCATTTTAATAATTAATTTTATTGATACATTTTATTTTTATTTTGGGGGAGGGTTGAGGCAGGGTATTGCTGTATAGTTCAGGCTGGCCCTGAGCTCACTATATAGCCCAGGCTAGCCTCAAACTCACACTGATCCTCCTGCCTCAGCCTCTGGAGTGCTGAGATTACAGGTATGCACCACCATACCCAGCTCCAGATATATTTTGTTTCTTCTTTTTTTTAATTTTTTTGATACCAGGGATTGAATTTGGGACTTTGCACTTGTGAGGCAGGCAGCTAAACCACTGAACTAAATCCCTGGCCCCGAGATACATTTTAAATACACTTAATGATCACATTCATCATAGGGAATTTGTACTTGTATGTGACCTATCTTTTTTTTTCTTAAATTCTTTTATTGGTACTTTTTAATAAAATGGAGTACTATTCCACCATGAAGAATGACAAATTAGAGACATTTATAGCTAAATGGATGCATATTGAGGATGTATCTTAATTCCACTTTTTTTTCCATTCCTTTCCCTCTCTTCAATCTCTCTTCTCCTTCTTATTTACAAGTGCTTTATTTCCAAAACTGAAAGTGTAAATATGGACCAAAATGTATACTAGATATTATAAAAGAGAAAGAAAATTCTCAAATGGTTAAAGGAACTAGGGAAGGGAATGGAGGAAGGAAGAACAAGAAAAGAAAAAATGAAAAAAGAATGCATATTTGCAGTATGTGCACTTTATAATCATGTACATTTACATAATGCAGTAACTTTATTTAATCCACTTTTCTCTCCATGCCTTCTTCCTCTTCTCATGATATCATTAATCTTAGTTCATGTTTATGGCATATAATTTCCACATTCATTGAAGTTATGAAGTTTCTGTACATGGCACATCTTTACTTTACCAATTTCCCCATCCACTCCTTCTTGCTCTTCACACTTGGTTCCCTAGACACCTACTCATTTGTAAAAGATCCATCCCTGTGACGCTTCTATTCACCCATTATTTTTCTCTTTGTTTGTGCTTTGCCATACTCAAATGAGAAATATAATATGGTATTCAACTTTGTGTATCCGATTTATTTCACTCAACATTACATTTTTCAGGTGCATTCATTTTCCTTCAAAAACCTCAAATGTTTCCTTCATTATAGCCAAGTAGAATTCCATTATATATAGATATCACATTTTCTTTACCCAATCATCTATTCTTGGGTATATTGGCTGTTTCCAGGATTCAGCTATTGTAAGTTATGGTACTATAAACATTGGCATGCATGTATTAATATAGTGAGATGTGTTAAAC